TCATGGCATATGTTCATTTATTATGTAATAGTTACTGTACTTCTGTGTGCCATTTTCTGTGCTTAGTAGCGGACTTTCTTAAGGTAAATCATCATAAACACTGTTACTGACTGGGTGTGTACTATGTCCCAAGCTTTTCCCTGCTTTGTTTCCCTTGCCGGAATTCCTACTTTCTTCAGTTGGTTGCCTTGATCTATCTCTCTTCATTTTTATGTTTATAGGATTTCTTCAGGTCCATGTCTCATGCTTTATAGGCTTTCTAGACCACCTCACAGGCTTGCTTTTATATGTGATTCACCCTGAAGTAAGATGGTGACATCTCAGAATTGGTCAGCCTTTAAATCCTTCAAACTTGGTAATTACTGAGATATGTAGCTTGTTTCTTTTTTTTTTTCTTTTTTTTCTTTTTTATTTATGATAGTCACACACACACAGAGAGGCAGAGACACAGGCAGAGGGAGAAGCAGGCTCCATGCACTGGGAGCCCGACGTGGGATTCGATCCCGGGTCTCCAGGATCGCGCCCTGGGCCAAAGGCAGGCGCCAAACTGCTGTGCCACCCAGGGATCCCTGTAGCTTGTTTCTTAGAAACTTTAGTCCCAGGTAGTTTAACTGCAGCTCCGGAAGCTTACTTGCCTAGTTGCTGTAAATTCACCATCTCTGCATTTAGAATTGGAAACCAGTGTCTTAGAGGCAAATCCTGGCATTGAGCTCTAGCAGAAGAGTTTGGAGGATAATAGAATAGGGATGCTGTTTTCTTCATCAAGGAAGAGGGTTTGAAAATGCAACCATGACCATCTGTGTCCAGGAAGAACCTCCTGTGACATAAGAGTGATACAGATCTTATCAAAATGACATATGATGAGAATAGAGTATATAGCCTCTCTAGACAAAGGTGGTCCTTTTCTGAAAAGTGAAGGATTTGTACTTGACCTCAGAACTTCTTCTCCAGGTTTAATGTTAGATAATAAAGTTAAATATTGAGATATAGATAATATTCCTAGTTAGTGGGTGCAGGTCAGGGAGGGAAGGAGAAATGGATTGTTTTGATGATGTTGAAAATATCAGTAGCAACTTGAGAACACAATGCCATTAAGTACAGAATGAGATAATTGGTTGCCAGTGTGCAGACCAGTTTTAATAGTAGCCAAGGTGAAGAAAGCAGATGAGGAATGGTTGTGGAAAGACTTACTAAAGGCTGTACCCTTTGACTCTTCTGGAAGTCAGTGGGGTTGTTAAAGGAAAGATCTCTGGAGCTAGGAAGCCTTAGCATTGAACCCTGACTTTGCTCCTTATGTTGGGCAAGTCACTTAAATCTTGCAGAATCTGTGTTTTTATCTGTAAGATGGGGATACTGTCTGTTTTGTGGGACTACTGTTGGATGTAATTGTGTAAAATGCCTGGTACCATTTGCAGCACCCATGTCAATAGTGGATGTTAGTTCTCTCTTTAGTTTCTCCTAATATGTTCTGTCCTGTTCCACTGTTTTCAGTATCCATCTGTTGACCTGTTACACTACTTCTAGCAAAAATTGAAGTTGAGAGCCTAAAGGTAGAGCAGATCCAAATTACAATTCCTAGGGATTTTTTTCTCCTAGTGAAAAGAGGAACCCAATAAAATGGTCTGTGGGATCTTTTTCCCTGTTTCAGTGGCTGGTGTGTTAGTAAGTGTTAGAAATTTGGAACTTTTCACAGCTAGAGGGTAAAATATTGGGGATTTATGTGGGCAGGGTTGTGTGGGTGCCAAGGAACAATTATGGTGGTTTAGGGCCTAGAAATTGGACCTTAGGCTGGTCAGCATCTGATAGTTCTTGGATAATGCCTCCTTTATAGTTACTGTGGCCATGATATCAATCACAAGTGTCTGGTTGCTTTGTGGCAGGATTTTTATGTGATTTGGAAACTATTCTTGGGCTGCAGCAAACTTTTTGAAGCCTCAACATTGTGTTTGTCTTAGCTATCACAAGGGTCTCCAACTAGATATACTTGTCCCTGTTTGTTCCTTCTCTCTGTTACTGTTAAACGTCAATTTGTCCAGCTTGGAGTTGTCTGTTATATACAAGGGTCCCATGGTTATAGATAGAAAAGCAGGAATTTCCTGATGATGTTTAATATTTAATAGCTTAGGGCAGCCCCTGTGGCTTGGCGGTTTGGCACCGCCTTCGGTCCGGGGCGTGATCCTGGAGACCCGGGATCGAGTCCCACGTTGGGCTCCCTGCATGGAGCCTGCTTCTCCAACTCTGCCTGTGACTCTGTGTCTCTCAATAAATAAATAAAATCTTTAAAAAAATATTTAATAGCTTAAGGAGAGAAGGTCTTTTTTTTTGCTATTGCCTAGGTGAGCAGTCTGAGGAGGGCACAAGTATCACCCAACCCAGGTAAGGTTGGGACTTAGGTAAGATTCCCCTTGGAATATCCTTAATGTTTATTGGCTTCTAACTATTGTGGTGGGTACAATATTAAAATTTGGAGATCTCAAGTTCTGTGTTCATGGCTTTTTATTTACCCTAACTAATAAACATCCTGATAACTATTTATAGTATAACGAATTACTTTTTCCTGGGTATCTTCTTAGTTATGTGTTTTCCCTGTCTTTGATCGATCAGAGTTCCATGTAAGATTTATTTAGGGGCGCCTGGGTGCCTCAGTCAGTTAAGTATCTGCCTTTAGTTCAGGTCGTGATCCTGGAGTCCTGGGATCCAGCTGCATGTCAGGCTCCCTGCTCAGTGGGGAGCCTGCTTCTCCCTCTGCTGTTCCCCCTACTTGTGCTCTCTTGCACTCTCTCTGTCAAATACTTAAATAAATATCTTTTTTTTTTAAAGGATTTTATTTCAAAAGAAAAAAAATGTGCCTAAAAATAGTTAAAAATAATTTCTGAGTTAGGCTATCTGTGAAGTGGGATATCTGGATGGCTCAGTTGGGATTAAACGTCTGACTCTTGATTTTGGCTCAGGTCATGATCTCAGAGTTGTGAGGTTGAGCCCCACGTGGGGCTCCTCAATTAGTGGAGGGTCTGCTTGTCCCTCTCTCTCTCTGCCCTCCCCCACCTCGTCTTGTGCGTGCACTCTCTCAAATAAGTAAATCTTAAAAAAAAAAAGAAAGTGTGTAAGTGCTTACCACTTCATGAAGTAGGTGAAGATCGATAAAGAACATGTCTAATCTGCCCTCAAGTTCTTGGATGTACTTAAGCATGATGAATTTGAAGAATGCAGTTCCATCCCATAGATTCCATCCTTAAATAAATGAAATCTTACAGTAAGTAAAAGCCAATGAAGAAGACATACTGGTGTAATTTAAAGCTCAAAGATTTGTGTAAATTGACATAAGATCCAGTTGCTTAACTGGATTACAGTGTATGAAAGTAACTTGAAATGGTCAAGTATAAAGTACCATTTATACTTGAACACAGGAGGTATAATATAACCCTTTAGTGGGATGGGTGCTACAACTAAGGAAGGACAGCAGTTGCTTTTCTAAATGATCAAACATCTGTACGTGAATTTGTAATCTTGTTAAACCGATACTGACCATTAAATGCTTTACCCTATAATGATTTCCAACTTTAAGGAAAAAAATGCACATAGAAAACACTCATTCTTTCTGTTCTGGAATTCTTTTGAGTTCCTGTTGAGGGGCGCCTGGGTGGCTCAGTGGTTGAGCGTCTGCCTTTGGCTCAGGTCCTGATCCTGGGGTCCTGGGATCGAGTTCCACCTCGGGCTCCCCGCAGGGAAGCCTGCTTCTCCCTCTGGTTGTGTCTCTGCCTCTGTCTCTGTGTGTCTCTCATGAATAAATAAAATCTTAGAGTCCCTGTTGAAAGGAGCGCTCACTAGCTGATACACCATCTTCCTATAGCATCAAAGAAAAATTAGCAAGGTGAGATTGAGCCTTGCCCTTTGGATCATCTGGGGAGGAGATAAGTGTTTAAATTTTTTTTTAAATTTTTTATTTATTTATGATAGTCACACAGTGAGAGAGAGAGAGGCAGAGACACAGGCAGAGGGAGAAGCAGGTTCCATGCACCGGGAGCCTGACGTGGGATTCGATCCCGGGTCTCCAGGATCGCGCCCTGGGCCAAAGGCAAGCGCCAAACCGCTGCACCACCCAGGGATCCTTAAGTAAGTGTTTAATGTTTCCAGTGGTGCCTTTCTTGACTCAGTAGACATTGGTAGAATAGCGAGACAGATGATAATTTTTAAAAAGATTTTATTTACTTATTCATGACAGAAAGGCAGAGATGAGAAGCAGGCTCTATGCAGGGAGCCCAATATGGGACTCAATCCTGGGACTCCAGGATCTCGCCTTGAGCCAAAGGCAGACATGCTCAACCACTGAGCCCCCCCAGGTGTCCCCAGACATGCTCAACCACTGAGCCCCCCAGTTGTCCCCAGATGATAATCCTTTAGTTCAATTCCATAAATACTTAGTGGATACCAGTTTTCTCTATAATGTGGTGAAAAACTAGATGTAGTGCAGTCCTTATGGTCTCTTTTAAGGGGAAAAAGAACAAAGGAATATTAAATAGGTAATTGTATGAAAAGAGAAGTAGCTGTTTACAAGACTGAGGCAGAAATGATCAAGATGAGCCCGAAATACCTTCTTATATGTTTAAGAAATTACCAAAGACTACTGGGGACTTTTTTTTTCTTTTTTTTTAGATTTTTATTTATTCATGAAAGACACAGAGACACAGGCAGAGGAAGCAGCAGACTCTATGCGGGGAGCCTGACGTGGGACTCGATCCCGGGTCTCCAGGATCAGGCCCTGGGCTGAAGGTGGCGCTAAACCACTGAGCCACCCGGGCTGCCCCCCCTTTTTATTTCCTTCTATGTAACTACTTGTAACATCTTAATAGACTTTATTGACATATAATTGACATAAAACGTATTATTTTAAGATGTACAATATAAAGATTGAATATATGTATTGTGAAGATGATCACCATAGTAAGTCTTTTTTCCTGTTGTATTTTTGTTGTCAAATCCAAAAATCACCAAGACAGATGTCAAGGAGCTTAAGGCCTTTATTTTCTTTTGGGAGTCTTATGGTTTCAGCTCTTAGAAGTTTTTAATCCATTTTGTGTATGGTGTAAGATAGTGGTACAGTTTTATTTTTTTGTCTTAAATATTTTATTTACGTATTCATGAGAATACACAGAGAGGAGAGAGAGAGGCAGAGACCCAGGCAGAGGGAGAAGCAGGCTCAATGCAGGGAGCCCAACGTGGGACTCGATCCTGGGGCTCCAGGATCACGCCCTGGGCTGAAGGATGCGCTAAACCGCTGAGCCACCCGGGCTGCCCAGTTTCTTCATTCTTTTGCATGTGGCTATCCAATTTTCCCAACACCATTTTTTTTTTTTTAAGATTTATTCAGAGAGAGAGAGAGAGGCAGAGACACAGGGAGAAGCAGGCTCCATGCAGGGAGCCTGACGTGGGACTCGATTTCGGGACTCCAGGATCACACCCCGGGTTGCAGGCGGTGCTAAACCGCTGCGCCACCGGGGCTGCCCTCCCAACATCATTTACTGAAGAGACTTGTTCTTGACTACTGAGGTCCTATCAAAAGAAGAGTCAACATGAAGAGCTTCCACAGGCCAAAAATAGAACAATTTCAGCATCATTATGAACTACAGTGAATTGAAACACATAAAATCTGTGAGCTCACACTGACACCTAAGAAACCTCATTGGTCTCACCTTTGAATAATACAAAACCAACTCATTCTTAAAACCAGTACATAAAGAATCCTGTATGAACTGTACCTCAGGATAACTAAGTACTTCTTATGAGGGCAAGTTTCTCACTACAGACGTATCCCAACTAATAAGTGAAGATAGGATAGTCCTACTTTTTAAGATTTTATTTAGAAAGAGAGCACGCCCACGAGAGCTGGGAGAGAGGGAAAGGGAGAGATCAAGATCATAACCTGAGGCAAAACGAAGAGTCAGACACTTAAACAACTGAGACACTCTTGTGCTCCAGGCTACATTACTTTTAATGAAATTAGAGATCTAAGTTAATAGTCATCAGTGGCTAACATCACGTTAAGAACCAACCAGAATTATGTACCCTCTGATGGAAATATGCAGCACCTATTCTTGTCAGGAAGCTTGAATCAGTTCACAGTTGGGGATGGAAGAACATGTTAAATGTCATCACAGGGATGCAATCAGTAAAATGTACTATGTGGGATATTATAGGACAGGTGGGCCAGTTTCTTAAATAAATTGCGGGTCATGAGATTGAGCCCCGTGTCTGGCTCTTTGCTCAATGGGGAGGCTGCTTGAGATGCTCTCCGTCTCTAGAATATTATGGAGTACTCCCTCCCTCTTTAGAATATTATTCTAAAACTAAATCTTTATAAATAGCAAAGTTGCAGGGGGAAAGGAAGCAAGAAAATGTATAGTCTGAAAGTCTTCAGGAACCTATCAACCAATATAGGATGTAGCCTTTATTTGGTTTCTGGTTTAACATTTCAAAAAGTTGTGAACCAGGCGTCCAGCTGGTTTAGTAGGTACAGCATGTGAATCTTGATCTCAGTGTTTGAGCCCCACATTGGGTGTAGAAATTACTTAAAATAAGCTCTTAAAGTTGTGAAATGGGTAAATTTGGACATTTGGTTGCTATTAAAGAGTTGCTCACGTTTTTTTATGTGATGATTTTTTTTTAGAATAATCCTTTTAGAAATATTAGAGTAAAATTATGAGTATGCAGCCAGTGTGGTTAAGGCTTAATGAAGATGGATAAGGATGCTTAAGAAATACAAAAGCAAAATTAATGAACTGGCAAATGCAAGGGGGACATGGACCAGAGGAGTAGGTCTTGAATTTAAGCTAGACCAGTAAAGGTAGAATGAGTTCCCATTGAGGAAAGCAATAGTCTTAGCCCATTTTGGGTCAGGTTCCAATAAATCAGTAAAAGCAACAGACCATTTCTTCAGAAATATATTGAATTCTAGAATTAGTGTTTTATGGACCCCCAGAAGTCACTCATGTGGACTCCCTGTTCCCCTATTACTTCAAACCTCCACCTGTTGGGTCAGGAGTACAAGAACGAACCTGTTTAGGAACCTGTGATTTAAAAAAAAAAAGAACCTCTAATTTAGGTTGAACTTTTTCTCATTTTTAACTAGGCTTCACACCCAGTGTGGGGCTCAAACTCATGACCCCTAGATCATGGTTGTATGCTTTGCCACTGAGCCAGCCCACTTGTCCTAGGTAGCAATGTTCCTTTCCTGTTGCCTGATCTCATACTTGAAGCTCATAATTATTAAAGGCTGATTCAGCTGCAGTTCTCTTTAGGGTCAAGATTTCTGCTTCTTGGAGCACCTGGGTGGCCATCAGTCAAGCGTCCAACTCTTGATTTCAGCTAAGATCCCAGGGTCATGAGCTCAAGGCCAGCATTGGGTTCTGTGTTTGAGCCTGCTTAAGACTCTCTCCACCCTTCCCCCAAATTTCCGCTTCCTGACTGTGCTGCAGCAGAAATGGGTTTGAGGATGGTACATTGTATTAGGCTTAGCCATATCAAATTGTTGATATTCAGTGTTTTTTAACCTATGGAAATGGCTGTTTCAGTGGTTCTGTAATTGCTAAATTACCTCCATGCTGTACAGATTAATGTAGGTCACCCTATAGTTACTCTATCTAAAGCTTTCACCTGTTTCGTTGTTCTGATACTAGAGAGGAGACATAGCTCTTACAAAGCAGTCACAGTGGTATCTGAGTTTCCAAAATCTGGCTCGTCCCTTCACTTCTATCTCATGTACCATCTATAAGAATTCACTTTTATTCTTACTGTTCATTCTTGCTATGGAATCTCTAGTGTAAATGTTATACTGAAAATCAAGCCACCATAAAAACTTATTAAAAGTAGTTTCATAATGAACAGGTGTGGAGCATAGCATTTTATCCTCCCTGGTAATGAATATATCGATACACCTAACACCTATGTGGTATTTCTACCAATACTACGTACAGGACTCCGAACTCAAGGAAATCATCAGGTGAATACAAAGGGCCATTCTATAAATGAAATGGCCTATACTCCTCAAAAATCAGTGTCTTAAAAAAGTAAAGAAACTATTATTACCTAAAAGGACAGATGCCACATGGTTTTTAAAAGATTTGACAGGGTGTGCATGTGTAAGGGGAGATGGTAGGCAGAGGTAGGGGATCTCATGCAGACTTCCCACTGAGCAGAGCCTACTGGGCTTAGGGTTTGATCCTACAACCCTGAAATCATGACCTGAGCCTTAAGTGACACCCAGGCACCCTGAAATGCCACGTATTATTTTTGATTGAGGACTACAGTGGGAAATCACCAGTGGCAAGGGTGTGATTTTATTTTTTTAAAAGTATTCATGAGAGACAGAGAGGCAGAAGCAGGCTCCATGCAGGGAGCCTGACATGGGCCCAGATCCCGGGTCTCCAGGATCATGCCATGGGCCAAGGCGCTGCTAAACTGAGCCACCCAGGCTGCCCCAAGGGTGTGATTTTAAATGGGGAAAACTACTAACCAGTAAATTACACTCAGTGGTAGGAGGACGGTTCTGGGTGTACTTGGGCAATGACTAAGATTTGACGACTTTGTTTAGGCATCTATAAGCAGCTTATTTACTCTAACTGGAAAGACCTCTTAGCAAGGTAAAGAAGTCCTTGGTGCCCAAGCAGTTGTCACTACGAAGGGACAATGGACATGAAAAATAAAAAAACTTTGTCTTTCAAGGTTGTCTGCACCACTATCATTTTTACTGGTAGGTAACTGAAATACTGTCCCATGTGTTCACTACACATGGGGTAGCTTGAGATGTTATCTGAGTACCTTTCCAAGCAGCGGTTTTACCTGATAGCAAGGATGAATCTGTAATAAAAAGCCACTGGTTTATAACTGGGGTGCTTTAGAAGTCCTTGGAGGCAGGGGTGCTTATTATCACAATGATTAGGATACTCTAGAGGCATTCAGTGGAGCAAGGCTGACCAAAGATGTTACAATATGTCAAAAAATAATCTTTTACAAAGAGTTACTGTACATCCCACAAGGTTCCCAAGTATTCATGTAGCTGAAAATTTGAGCCTAGGATTTATTTTTCATAGGAATCTCCACAAGTGTTTACATGGGTGTTAAGGAACACTTAAAATTTCCAGGAATGTAATTACTGTGTAAACAATCTTCACATTAAAGCACTATACTGACTTAATTGTACAGCAATTTCATTTCTAGATATCACAAAATAAAAGGAGGCATTACATCTAACAGGATCTAAGCCCATGTTCTTGAACAGTAGATTCCTTTGAGCACAGTATATGGCAGTAATCCATGAAAAGAAGGGGGGGGGATCTGCTGGAAAACTTTTGGAAAGAATTCTTCACATTTAAATAAATAGGAAAGATATTCACCCTTCTTCTGAAGGTGTCCGCATGTAATTGCAACTACAGGACAGGATATGGGACAAGGCAACTCACTCAAGATTAAACAGAAATGTTGGAAGCATCAGTTCCTGATGGACTTGTTCTTGGTAATTAATGCATATTATTTCATCAACCAGCCCTTCCAAATCCTGAGTTTGTATTTTCAGCTGATGTTAGAAAATCCTGTATTCCACTCGAATGGCTTTAGGTCAGAGAATTTGGGGAAGTATTCATGTCCTATTCCTGAAGCTAAATCTCAGAGCCTCACTTCTCACAAACAAGAGATCAAGATACTTTTTCAGATTTATTTAAAAAAAAAAAAAAAAAAAAAAAACCCAGAATGATCAAAAAAAGCCATCAACAAGGAAGCCAGACAGGCCAGAAGGCAGCTAGAAAAATATGTCTTAGGAAAGTTAGGGAGCCCTATTACCTTTAAAAATACAAAGCTGTACGTAACAGCTATTTTTCTGTTGATCTAGCTACTCCTGCCCTACCCTCCAACATGGCTCTGCTGGCTTGCCTTGTAAGGCCTCAGTTTCATGAAGAATCCCATGTACACATAGGCTGGTGTAGTAGTTCTTAATTCACTAGAAGATCTCTCATCCCCATATGGTCTCATTCCAGGTGTGTGGCCGACTACCTTCATCATTCTTAGAGATGGTTTCAACCTCTTGAAAATACAGCTACTAAAGCACAAAACATTGTTTTTATAATGATCAACAAATCTTCCCCTCCCTTTACATGCAGGTGATAAATGACTACAGAGTACTCTGAATTTTGTACGGTTGAAATTCTCATTAAATGATCATTAGCTTATGGTCGCTAAATTTACATATTAAGGAAATTATATATAGAATACTGCAAAAACACAGTAAAAGATTGAAGTTTGCCCATTTCTGCTCAGAAGTCCCTTCACTCCCAAGCATCATATTTCGACTCCAAAGTTTGGCATTACTGTTTTTCCTCCTTTTGATCTTCCTTTTGTTCCCCAGTGCCAGAACTTCCAGAGCCTTCTCGCTCAGATGCCATCTGTTAAAATATTTGAGAGCAACTCATTTAATGTTAAGGCTGACAGTTTGCACTTTGATAAACTAAAAAAATGGAGGCATATCCTGCCTCTTCCACTCTCTTCCTCCTTGTACACTACTGTTGGCTTCTGTGTCCTTCCCTTTGGCTGCTATTACCCTCCCTTCCAACGCAGAGTCAAGAAGGCAGGAAAAGTATTTCCGACTCTAATACTGTTTCATAAATGGCCATGTACAGTGCCATCAATGATAATAATCAACAGCGGTTCTATTAAGATCAAGTTAGGGGCAAATTCATTGTGCAAAATGGCCTTCAGTCCACATACCTTTTTGTATGCCATTTCAAAGAGCTTCAGTGATGCCTGCTGAAGGGAAGATGCTGCCTGCCTTATGTTTTCTGCTGTTTCACTGTCTTTTCGAGCCAGAAGTTCCCTCATTTTGGAAATCTCTTCTTTCAGCTTGTTGCACTTAAAAAAAAAAAAAATTCTGGGTTTATTATCCCATTTTATGTAGCAGTAATACTCAAACATTAAAAAACAAATTCCTAGGGCAGCCCAGGTGCTTCAGCAGTTTAGCGCCGCCTTCAGCCCAGGTTGTGATCCTGGAGACCCGGGATGGAGTCCCATGTCTGGCTCCCTGCATGGAGCTGCTTTTCCCTCTGCCTCTCTCTCTCTCATGCTCTGTGTCTTTCATGAATAAATAAAATCTAAAAAACAAAACAAAACAACAACAACAAAAAATTCCTATCACTGACAACTTGTCCTTAGAATTCTATCTACATTTTCTTATTTTTAAAAAAAGATTTGGGAGTGAGAGCAAGCATGCACGTATGTGCCCACGTCCATGCATGAACAGGGGGGAGGAGCATAGGGAGAAGCAGACTCCCCGCTGAGCAGGGATCCTGATGTGGAGCTCAATTCCAGGACCCTGGGATCATGACTTGAGCTGAATGCAGACACTTACCCAACTAAGCCACCCCAGTGCCCCTCCATTTATTTGTGAAATGGCCCCAAATGAATGTTTATATGAAAAAAAATAAAGCCTCTCAGAAACAAAAACTACTGCTGAATGCCTATCAAGACCCACACAGAAAAACAAACTTCGTTGACATTGGTGACACTACCTCTTAACTTCATTAACTATTTTTTTTTTCACATTAACTATTTTAAAAGAGAACTCACTTCCTCAGCAGGCAATTGGTCCTTGAATTCTTCCATTTTTGTTTCTGTGTCATGAATGATTCCTTCAGCCATATTAACTGCTTCAACCCGTTCCTAAGAGAAATTAGAAATTTAGTATAAAGACTTCCCAAACAACCAGTTGGCTCAATGTCCCCATTGAACAAGACCACATGGTAAGTGATGCATACAGTTACAGAATAAAACAAATTACTGTGGCATGAGGTAGTCTAGAATGTCGATAAGGGATTTTAGCTGAGATAGTAGAACATAAGAATTCTGATACGAAAAGACTGAGAGAAGCATTCCACACAAAAGCTTCCAGCAAAGAGGGAAGGAGGATAGATTTCAAGAAAGATTACAAAGATGATCAAGGATACATCTCCAAACTCCCACTTTCACCTCCCAGCTGCAGAGGCAGAAAGTAGTTACCTTCTTTCGCCGGTCTTCCTCAGCATACTTTTCTGCATTTTTAACCATATTTTCAATATCATCTTTGCTTAACCCACCGGAAGACTGAATCACAACTACAGTGAGGGGAAAAAAAAGGCATCCTGTTATTTTTCCAAGTAAAATCATCTGCTTCTTACTCTATCGTATTAAGAAAAATGAGTATTTCTCTTCAGAGTAGCCAATTTTGAAGTGTATTATAAAAGACAGGAAAACCTTGTACTCCTACAATAAAAAGAAGAAAATGAAGGGTCTGAAATACAGACCAAACTGACCTGCCTGCTTACCAAAACTTCAATAATCCAGAAGCCCAGTGTTTGCTTATCTGGGGTAATAAACATCACACTTGTGAATTTGAATCTGCCAATCCAAGAGAAAAGAGGCAAAAAGGACTGACTCCTCTCCCCTAAGGCTGGGGGTAAAGATATGTACAACCTAGAAGGTCTAGTTCTCAAACAGAGGAACTCCAAGGTCCCTCGCCTCACTCTGACAGTCTGATAAATAAGAGTACTTACTCTGCTGCTCACGTCCTGTACCCTTATCTTTGGCTGAAACATGTACAATCCCATTGGCATCAATGTCAAATGTAACTTCAATCTGAGGGACTCCACGAGGGGCTGGGGGAATTCCAATCTAAAATAAATACACAGTATTAAGTTTCCCCCCTAAGAGGTCCAGTGTTCTTTTCCATATCTGTACAGTTTTCTGGGTAAACAAGTAACTTGTTCCTGGGAGGAACAAACAACACTTAAAATGTACAAAACCACAAATTTCTAATAAGGGTAGAAGTTTCATTGCTACCTGAAATAAACAGGGCTCAGTAAAAGATTCACCACAGCAAGTAACCATAATGGCTTTATGTACCCAAGGACCTAGTGAATGAAGTCTCCACGACTTTTCATGTCCCAAGAACTAATAAACAATGCTGACAAAGGCCAAAAGCATATATCTTAAATCAGCAATCAGGAATTTTTCCTGATTAATATTGTTTATGAATATTTTCCTGGCTCTTGTATTTATCATCTTCTTGATGAAGTTCCTAAGACACAGAGAACAAACAAGACTTTCAGGTAAAAATTGAAGCCTTGGGTATCTAGCTGCAGAATTCATCTGTACATCAAACTAAGGTAACAGACTAAGTCCTTGTGTTTTAGTGTTTTGGTTATCATTAAGGGTTAAAATATAGTTTAACTGTATAGTAAAAGGAATGAGAAATATACTATCCATGATTCCTCATACCTACCAAAGTAAATTGTCCAAGAAGTTTGTTGTCTCCAGCCATCTCTCTTTCACCCTGACACACTTTAATCTCCACTTGAGTTTGACCATCAGCAGCTGTAGAAAACACCTAGGGAGAAAGAAATTCTCTGGATTGGCAGTCTGATCAGGCTAATTCCCTTATATAAAGTGCAAGCCAAAGAAAGAAATTCACATCTCAACACTTTATAGAGTCCAAGGCGCAGGATGTTCCGAACAAAGGCTTATTAAATCTCTGCAGGGAACAGGAGTAGGATTAATTAGCATAGTCAAAGGATATACAATAGCTACTGTTTCAACTAAGTAAATGCACTATACAAAGCAGCATTCACAAAAAAGGCTTCAAGGAGCTAAAAAGATAAAAATGTTCAAACATGCTCATCTGAAGAGATAGATCAGAGACCATGTCATTTATTTTATGCTCAGTCACAGAAGTCACCACAGTTTTCTTCAGAATGATGTGTTGGCAATATATGACTGAACAAATAGCAATATCCGTTAGATATTAACAGCTTTTCAGAAAAACTTCAAAATTGGGAAAGGCAAGAAATAGTTCTTAATCTAACACAGAAAAAAAAAAAAAAAAACTGAGCCATTGTCCAACTAGCCCTGCTTGGTATCTAAGGAACCCCGACATCACTCACCCATAAAATAAGTACACTCCCCTAATCTTGGCCAGTTCCTTCTCTTTACTGCCTTTCAGAACAGTACAGAAGAGCACAGGGAATTTAGTCCCAAATGATGAAGCTCCTTCTGTAAAGTTATTTTAATCTGGTGAAGGAGACTACTGATACCCTCCCTACAATCATCACTGTTGACAGGTAATAACTTTTTCAGGAACAACAACAACAAAAAAAAACCCAAAAAACAAGATTCTTAGCACCCACTCAACTATTATGGACTCTCAATACAGAAAGCAAAGTATTCTAGGAAAAACTCCACAAGAGGGGGTGCAATCACATCTCTCAGAGACCCTAGTATCTCCATGACAATGTAGGAGTAGGTGACTCTTACCTGGCTTTTCTTGGTTGGAATAGTGGTGTTTCTGTTGATAAGTTTGGTAAAAACACCTCCCAGAGTCTCAATACCCAGAGACAGAGGAGTGACATCCAAGAGCAGCACATCTGTGACATCACCAGCTAACACACCTCCCTGAATGGCAGCTCCAATGGCCACAGCCTCATCAGGATTGACAGCTTTGCTTGGGGCTCGGCCAAAGAGATCCTGTACAGTCTGCTGAACCTGAGCCATCAAGAAAAAAGAACCTGTCACTCATTACTAAGTGGCAACTACTCAAGAAGGGAAGAGCACACGTATCCCAAAAATCACAGCAAAATCTCAGGACAAGCTGCTACAGATCCAAGAATATTCACTCAAGTTACTATTTCATATTTTAGTTTTTCTTAAATGACCTAAATGTGCCAAGCGGGTAACACTCAAATATTTGACTATCATTCATAGCCCTTTTAAGATTTGAGAAGAATTTTTGTTACTAGGTTTCCCACAGAACACATTCAATTAGAAACAGAGGTGAAGGGATGCCTCGGTGGCATAGTACACCGAATGCTGGACTCTTGATTTCAGCTCAGGTCATGACCTCAGGGTCCTGGGATCGGCCATGTTGGGCTCTGCACTTGGCATGGAGTCTGACTGTCCCTCTCCTTCTGCTCTTCCCCCAGCTCATGTGCTCACTCTCTCAAATAAAATCTTAAAACCAACTCCTGATCTCAGCTCACTCAGGTCTTGAGCTTCACTCTGGACAGGGAGTCTACTTAAACACCAAGAAAAAAGAAACAGGATACAAGACACTAGAATTCAGATATACTCCAACTCCTCTTTGTACAGTTCAACTAAAAACTAAATTAATAAAAGCACCAGTGGTTGGGGCAGCCCAGGTGGCTCAGTGGTTTAGTGCCACCTTCAGCCTGGGGCGGGATCCTGGAGTCCTAGGATGGAGTCCCGCCTCAGGCTCCCTGCGTGGAGCCTGCTTCTCCCTCTGCCTGTGTGTCTCTGCCTCTCTCTCTCTGTCTCTCATGAATAAAAAAAATATTTTTTAAATGTATTTATTTGAGAGAGAGAGAGAGAGAGAGAGAGAGAGAGAGAGAGACAGACACACACACGCGCGCGCAGAGACAGGCAGACGGCGAAGCAGGCTCCACGCAGGGAGCCCGACGGGAGACTTGATCCTGGGACTCCAGGATCACACCCTGGGCCGAAGGCAGGCGCTTAAACCGCTGAGCCATCCAGGCTGCCCTAAATAAATAAAATCTTAAAAAAAAAAAAAAGCACCAGTGATTAATTCAATAATTCAACACTGGTGCTAATATGAGGTTTGTTCTTCCCTCCTGCTTATTTTACTAATGCTAGAAAAAAGTGCTATTTAAATAGCTTCTGGGATAATTTGTTAACCTAAAGATATCTTCCTGGTCAAAGCCTCTTTTTCTTAGTGTTTACTCTTTGCATATTTTCCTAAGCCCAGAAACCCCAAAGGAAAAATTACTACCAAGGCCCAAGATAATTCTATTCAAGCTATGCAAGAATTGCATCTTCAACAGGTTCTGTGCTCAGTCATTAGTTTTCCACACACCTATCTTATCAGAATGATGTGTTGATAAATAAAATCCATCATTGCACAAGTCTCTGTTGAAGAGATAGTTAGAAACCCCAAACACCATAGTGCAAAGACACTCATGTCCATAATCGCCTCTACAGGCTAGATACTACCAAAATTTTAAGCTATCTCTGATCTCAAACTTTGTTTCATTCCTAAAAATACTCCAAGAATGAAGGTCAGGATCCTCCATGCTTCCACCTCAAAGACATTCTGCCCTTCCCAATCCTTTTTCTGACACCTTTTAATTAAAGAGAAAAAGAAAAAAAGGCTGAAAAAGAACTGTAGTGAGGGCACAAATTCATCCTTTCAGCTCACTGTGGCAGGAACACCACATACTCATGTCCCTACACAAACCATTTGTCTAGAAAAACATGTGCTTGCCCTCTCTGCTTTTCCATGCCAAGGATTTTATGGGTCCATACCTTGGGCATCCTAGTCATGCCACCAACAAGAATCACTTCTCCAATGTCACTCTTGCTGACTTCTGCATCTTGCATGGCTTTTTGGCATGGAGCAATGGTTCTCCTGATTAGATCAGTGACAATGCCTTCAAACTGAGCCCGTGTCAGCTTCATATTCAAATGCTTGGGTCCAGAAGCATCCATAGTTAGATATGGCAAATTAATGTCGGTCTGCAAAGGAAGCAGAGAGAGCATGTGTAGTGGTGACGTTTCTGTATTACTTCAAATAAACCAAGACCACAGTCCCACATTAGGAAGACTTTCAAAGTTACTGGGAGAGTGATACCCACACACTTTGCATGAATGGCCACCAAAAACAATAATAACTCTTTAAGAGTCATTAAGATTTGAGGTCTTCTATTCCCAAAGGCAAAAATCCTAGAATCTTACCAACAATGAAGATCGTGATAGCAAGGAAAATCCCCCTTCAGGACACAAAGAACAGTTCCACTAAACATACTTTAAGAGTCATACCACCGTTTTCTGTAACCATGTTTTCAAAAACTCTGTACACACACACAATAAAGTCAAAGGCATGCTTTGAACCAAATGTTCTGCCCCACGCCAAGGCTTTTTAGTTTCAGGAATATGGGAAGAAAGCTGTAACAGAAATGCTAAAGGTAACTCCAAGGACTGACTTTACCACCATCGCATTCATGGTAAGCAGTATACCTTGCTACAACCATACCAGGTAACAGCCATTATTTAATAAAACCCAAATCCTAAAAAGGCCTGGATTCAGAATATTTAGACTAAATAAAACTCATCACTAAACATGCCAAAACCTGTCTCAAGGTAGACCCTCAAACAAAATTACTTTCTACCTCCCCTCCAATTTCACGTCAAACCATGGCTAGGGGGAAAGAGAGAGGAACAAATCCTTAACCATCTCTCATCAGGTGAACTACCCTAGCTATTTAAATGCTTAATAAATAGCAAGACTTAAAACACAACCTTCTGTAGAACATTGGTACTGAGTACTGCATTAAAGAACACCATGGACAATTTCCTTCTTTCTCTTGCAAAATGTTAATAAACCAAATAAACAGAATTTAATGATCTAAACCAATGCAATCTGGGACTCCTGGGTGGCTCAGTGGTTGAGTGTATGCCTTTTGGCTCAGGGCTTGCCCCGGAGTCCCGGGATCAAGTCCGACATCGGACATCCCTGAATGGAGCCTACTTTTCCCTCTGCCTGTGCCTCTTATGAATAAATAAAATCTTAAAAAATCAAAAAACCCCACAATGCAAACTAATACAACTTTCTATAATGGTAATTTGTGCTGTTCAATTCAGCAACCACTAGCCACATATAGCTCAGCACTTGAAATACAGGCTGTACAAATGACAAACAGCATTCTAAAACTTAATTTTAAAAACCCTCACATGGACACTATTAATGACAGTTCTATACGCTGTACATTAATGACAACCTGAACTCCAGGACTTTCACCTCTTTAAAACCAGTTTGTCACGAACTTTTGTCCCCCCTCTCTCAAATTCAACACATTCTATCTATCACACTCTAGTCCCAGTCCTTCCTCTCACCACCAGCTGATCATGTACCACAACAGCATCTCAACCTTGTACCACCTCCACCAAGGCTGCGCCTGTGCCACAGGACCCCTCCCAGGGCAAACTTCTATTCCACTTCTAACAGAGCACTACTCATAATCTCTTATCTGACCATATTACTGCCCCTAAATTAAGTTTTCACCAGGGTGCCTTGCTGGCTAGGTGACAGAGTGTATGACTTTTGAACTTGGGGTCAGGAGTTTGAGTCCCATGTGGGGTGTAGGGATTACTAAAAAAAATTTTCCCCGCTGGTTTATACTCATTCTTCTCAGGATAGACCTAAATCCTATCTATATAGCATCTAGTCTCATGATGTTCCATTTTCCCTGCCCTTCTGCTCTTCATACACACTAGCCCTTTCTCAGGTCACTGCAGGGCCTTGTACTTCCTTGACACTTTTTTATCTTTTTCTGATCAACTCATCTCTCAGCATCTGTCAATTATAAATCTAACTTTGCTCTTTTACCATATTAATGACACTTTACAGTACTAGTTAAGATACGTCTTAACCACATATCAATTCAGGAATCCTTACAACTCTAAGAGAAAAAGCAGCACCATTATCCTCATTTTAAAAATAAGAAAAAACAGAAATGCTAAATAATTTATCATAGGTCACACAGCTATGAAGTGATAAAATATGACTTTAATCCCAGCACTCTGTCTACAGGGCCACTCTTAAACCTACTGCATTACCTTTGGCTTGACAGTTATTAATATAATGTCCTAATTAGTATCTACCTCTTTGGGGTGCCTGAGTGGCTCATTGATTGAACATTCAACTCTTCATTTCAGCTCACGATCTCACAATTGTGGCTCACATTAGGCTCTGCGCTCAGCAGGGAGTCTGCTTGAGATTCTCTCTTCCCCTCTTCTCCTCCCCCACATCCTCTCTAAAATAAGTAAATCTTAAAAAAAAAAAAAAAAATCTATCTTTCCAAACCACTCTGTAAACCCCACAAAGGTTAACACTTCTAGGAATTTATTCTATAGATTTTTTTTATTCTATAGATTTATAATCACACATGCACAAACATTAATATTCAAGAATGCTCAACGTATTTTGCTTCAACAGCAAAATGGCAGGAAACAATTCAAATGCCCATTAATAAGAATCATGCTAAAAACCACCAACCTCTCCCTTCCAAAGTGTCAAACTCCTGGGAAGAATTTTAAGCGATCCTGCAGCACTATGAACTATGAACTACATCACATAGTTCACCTCTAACCCTAACCATCACATGTTGCAGTTCTGCCACTCTGTGTGACAGCAGGGATAAAGTAACACCATCATCCTAGAGGACTATATGACTTTGTTACTCCTCACAGCTACTTTAAAAAACTTTTTTTTAAAATTTTTATTTATTTATGATAGGCACACAGTGAGAGAGGCAGAGACATAGGCAGAGGCAGAAGCAGGCTCCATGCACCGGGAACCGACGTGGGATTCGATCCCGGGTCTCCAGGATCGTGCCCTGGGCCAAAGGCAGGCACTAAACCGCTGTGCCACCCAGGGATCCCTAAAAAACTTTTTTAAATCCAAGTCTCCCCACACTGGATAATCCATGGTCAAATTAAGAACTAAAGTAGTCACAGGTTCTGCTTTCCTGCTGCTGTTGCCTGAGAACCAAGAAACAAATCTACCTTCCATCTTGTTGCATCTCTGACCCAGACCCAGCAAGCTTTATACAGTTCTATTCCTAGTGGTTAAGGCAAAGTGAAGCTTCACCTCTCAGACTGGAACACAGGCCTTCAACAGATGCCAACAGAGAAATGTATGTAAGTGTATACACCCCAGCCTTCAGCCAGGTTTCATAGCCCACTTTCTGGATTGGTGATCCAAATAATCATGAGACAATTAGAGACTCCCACAAAGAGGGATGTGAAGACAGTAGTAGTTCCTAGAAGCTCCTATTATTTCTAGGCTAATGATTCTAATTTTGCACGAGTATAGATCTTAAAAATCAGTATCTTTAAGGCAAATAAAACATATTCAGTGTCATTCAAAACCTAATTATTTTTTGGCTCTGGTATATAGAATCTTATTTGGATGGTTAACAAATTCTAGCTCATCCTTAAAGAAATACTACTTTGTTTCTGGAAAGCCTTTTACTACCTTATAAAGGTTTTTATACTTTTACCAGAAAAGCCTAAAAAGATTAGATAGACATTACACCAATTAGAACATGCTTTTCAAATAAACTAAGGCTAAAAACATCAAGACTATTAGGATTTGTCCACATCCCACCTGCACAGATGAGGAGAGTTCACACTTAGCCTTCTCAGCAGCTTCCCGAACCCTCTGAAGTGCCATGTTGTCTTTGGTTAAATCAACCCCTGTCTACAAAATAAAAACACACAATACTAATATTAGCAAGGTGATAAATATTTAAAGTATAGTGATAACATATAACAACATAAAACAGAACTGTACCTTTATAAACAAGCATGAATCATTTACTACCCTTAAAAACCAGTAGGGAAAAGAAATCTTATTTTACAAAGCCTATCTGTGCCTGGAGTCAGAAGGCTGAACTAATCATATTTCTTCCCAACCACTGGGTTCTGGCTCAAAAGAGGAGTTCCCAGAATTCCTTTGCGAACATTATACAGAGTACCATATCCTTTTTAATTTGTTTATTCCCAAACTGAAACTACAACAACCACATGTTTCAGTACACCCATAAAAGTGAAAAAGCAATTATTTCAGCATTCTAGTCAATGTTCTATTAAGAGCAAAACATAAAGCAAAGATCCATCTGAATAAAGAAATTCTCAACATCCCAATGTCTACATATTAACTACACTGGTAACTAACCTCTCTTTTGAACTCCTTCACAATGTGTCGTAGCAAGGCCTGGTCAAAGTCTTCACCACCTAAGAATGTATCTCCATTGGTGGACTTCACCTCAAACACTCCTTTCTGAATCTCCAGAATAGAAATATCAAAAGTCCCACCACCTAAATCATATACAGCAATGCTAGAAAGAAAAAAGACCGAAAGGAATTAACACCTGCTGCAAGGGTATAAATTTTAATAACCAAATGAACATAAACTTGATGGTTTCCCTGAAGTATAATAATGAAATCCAAGTTTTCTTAGGCAGTAACAAGTATGTTAAAATGTGGGCCTAATAGCTATTGGTAAATACACAGTTAAAATACATTTTTAAGGGAATCCCTGGGTGGGTCAGCGGTTTAGCGCCTGCCTTTGGCCCAGGGCATGGTCCCGGAGTCCTGGGATCGAGTCCCGCATCAGGCTCCCTGCATGGAGCCTGCTTCTCCCTTTGCCTGTGTCTCTGCCCGCCCCCACCCCCGCCATGAATAAATAAAATAAATTAAAAAAAAAGCTTTTAAAATATTTTTTTCAAAGCAAAATTGACAGTACTCATTTTTTTTTTTTTTAATGCAGTCTCCACGCCCAACTTAGGTTTGATCTCACCATCCTGAATTAAGAGTCACATACTCAGGGCAGCCCTGGTGGCTTAGCAGTTTAGCACTGCCTTCCGCCCAGGGCGTGATCCTGAAGACCTGGAATCGAGACCCACATCAGGCTCCCTGCATGGAGCCTGCTTCTCCCTCTGCCTAATAAATAAACTTAAAAAAAAAAAAAAAAAAGTCACATATTCTACTGAATGGGCCAGACACCCCCACTCACTCTTCTGAATAAATACTTGCCAATATGAATACCAAGGAAAAAAAATGACCAAGGTCCAGTAGGTTCATAGTTCCATTGACTGAGTCTCACAAACCTAGGTGGAGTTTCCTACACAAACTTACATCTTGTCTTCTGATTTATCTAGACCATAGGCCAGCGCAGCAGCTGTGGGTTCATTAATTACTCGAAGCACATTTAGTCCAGATATCTGGCCAGCATCCTTAGTGGCCTAAAGGAAAAGAAAAAAGCATTTTCCACCCTGTGTCCTAAGTAACATTACCTTCCTGAATAAGAACACCAACTGAACTCACCTGTCTCTGAGAGTCATTGAAATAAGCTGGAACAGTGATCACAGCATTTTTTGCTGTATGCCCAAGGTAATTTTCTGGAAAAGAATTAAAAAATGAAATACAATCATGAGACTCTGTCAGATGAAACAGCTAATACAATTACTAATGCAAGCTAACAATCTGTCATCCTCTTGGAGCTACAGACAATACTCATCAGTTTCTTTGTATGTGACCTAATACAGAGAGACCTTTTAGGAAAACATTCAAATTAGATAGTAGTTGAAGACCCAAGATCTCACCTTTAACATTATAGTGAAGGTTCACCAGCTACAATGACCTACTCTTAAGACTTAAAACAGCCACTGGTTTCTCCAAATGGGAAGTTTTATCTAACAGAGCCCAAAGACTATTATGTAGTCTTTCAGCCTTCAATACAGAATATCACCCCTCTATAGTGGAAAAGACAGACAAACCACCATTAGGAAACTCTGAAGATAAACTCAATATGTATGGTTATGTGTAAGCAATAATAGTTTCCCCATTTCTAGGTTTTCTGTACAACACCCACCATAGTCATCAAAGGGACATAGGGTATTTGAGTGAGGAACCAACCAGTTCTCCAAACTTTCCCAGATGGGATCTAAACCTTCTCACCTGCAGTCTCTTTCATCTTCATCAACACAAATGCTCCAATCTGACTTGGAGAATAGAGTTTTCCATGAGCTTCAACCCAGGCATCTCCATTGGAGGCACGGACAATTTTAAAGGGTACATTTTTACTGAAAGATATAAAAATTGTATTTGAAAAAATGTGCCCGCACAACCTACCATGACAAGGTGACCATACACCATGAATGTCCATCCTCTATCCCAAGAGATTCATGGCCAACAAATGAAAATTTCAAGAATCCATTTAATGAAAACCTTTAGAAAGCAGTCATTAACACGTAGAAACACCCTGATGAAACCTGAACATTCTTTACTTCCTGCCAAACACAAGATTTGTCCCTGCTCTGGAAGTGATTAGAGAATTACCAATAGACCCAGCAAGTCCATTACTAGGTATCTAGCAGAGAGAAACAGAGATCCTTACAAAAACTACATAAATGTTTATGCAGTATGGTTTCGAGTTTAAGATTTTACTTATTCATGGGGGGGGGGGGGGGCAGAGACACAGAGAAACAGGCTCCATGTGAGGAGCCTGATGTGGGAATCGATCCTGGGACTCAAGATCACCCCCCAGCCATCCCTCGAGTTTATTTTTAGTAATCTCTATACCCAAAATGGTGTTTGAACACCCACAACCCTGAGAGATCAAGAGTCACAAGTTCTTTTGACCGAGACTGCCAGGCACCTCTGTAGCAGTATTCTTAATAGCTCCCAGATGCCCATTAACTTACAAACCAATAAATAAAATGTAGTATACAACTAACCCTTACACCATGGGCTCTAAATGCACTGGTCCACTTATATGTGAATACTTTTGGGTAAATACAATACTGTAAAAGATCTCCTCCTCCTTATGACTTAACATTTTTTTAAAATCCTAAGGTAGTTTACTAAAACATGATAAACAATACACAATAAACATTCGAAATGTGGTATCAACTGCCTATGTTATCAGCAAGGTTTCTGTTCAGCAGTAGGCTATCACAACTTTTTGGGTAGTCAAAAAATTATACACAGGTGTTCAAATGCATGAAGGGTCAGCCCCACAATGCCCTGTGTGTTTAAGGGTCAAATGTATATGCATACGATGTAAATGTAATCTGGCCATAAAAAAGACACAAAGTACTGATACATGTTACAGCACAGACAATGCTGAAAACATCGCTGAACAGCACATGATGGGGCCTATGCCTTATATGCCATCAATTTATGTGGTCCCTAAATGACTAGCCAAATCTTCACGTCATGCCAATACATAGAGAAGCCCTATTATCTGAAGGCAGGAAAAAAGTTTTTGAAGGAGACACCCTTTTGGTAGGGGCAGGACATGCCCGCATGGACAGTATGTAAAACTCCAAAATTCTTAGATGCTCCAAGAATCTTGGTGAAAAGATTCTCCTCATAGCCTCTAGAAGTAACTATGCTTTTCCGATTACTTACATGTCTTTCTGTACTTCAGGGTCATCATATCGCCGGCCAATGAGACGCTTGGTGGCATAGAATGTGTTGTTTGGGTTGGTGACAGCCTGTCTCTTGGCTGGCATGCCAACAAGTCGCTCACCATCTGATGTAAAGGCCACCACTGAAGGGGTGGTTCTTGCACCTTCAGCATTCTCTAGCACCTAAAACTCCCAGAGACAGACAGAAAATGAGGTTCCAGTCACCACCACTAGTCTTTGTTATTGTTTTAAGACACAAAACAGCTGTCAAATCACAAAACAAATGCTCACCAATAGTACTAATGGGCATGCTTTTATGCTCTGTGAAAACTCCTAAATACCTCCTCTTTGAGGTACAGGTTTTAAGTATTTTTCTTTACTTTTTAAAAACAGACTTTATTTATTTAATGTATTTAAGAGAAAGACATACACATGCGCACACACAGCTGAGTACAGAGCCTGATGTGGGGCTCCATTTCACATCCCTGACACCACGACCTGAGCTGAAATCAGTATTTGGGACACCTAACCAACAGTTACCCACGTGCCCCTAAAAGTACTTTTATTTTTATTTATTTTTTTTTTAATTTTTATTTATTTATGATAGTCACAGAGAGAGAAAGAGAGAGAGGCAGAGACATAGGCAGAGGGAGAAGCAGGCTCCATGCACCGGGAGCCCGACATGGGATTCAATCCCGGGTCTCCAGGATCGCGCCCTGGGCCAAAGGCAGGCGCCAAACCGCTGCGCCACCCAGGGATCCCCTAAAAGTATTTTTAATTCTTTATTTTTTATAACTAAAAACAAAAACACGAATAAAAATCAGATCTTTCACACTAAGATAATGGAACAAGGTACTCTTTCCTTTTGTAGGGAAAATTAAATCTACTTCAATTTTTTTCATGCTGCTACAAGTTTCAGGCATTTAAAAAAGAAATTGCCAAATAATTCAGGAATACCAGGTGCTCTGCATCTTATAAAGAAACCAGTGGGAATAAAGGTTTTATGAACAAACCAAGGAGGTCCTTCAGGAGGAACAGCCTCTATCACAGTAAAAGCTCCTAAGATGCAGCCTACATGTTATATAGAGATTCACTTGCTTCTAGACTCTTCTTGTACCTTCAGCCATGGTTCATCTGACTTATAAAATGCATGATTCTGATGATAGAAATAATCCACAGAGCAAGTCATCCCACTTGGTCCTAAATGGGAACAGTCCTATCTCTATGCTAGGACACCCTTAAAACCTGGTGTCAAATCCATGCACTTTACAGCATCTTGCAATTAAGTACATAGGTTAGCCTCAAAAGAAACTTAGGAATTTAGAATCAGCCTTTAGAATGTCCCTTATCTAAGCCAAAAGGCACAGAATCCTAGATTGGATACTAACTCCTATTTGAGATCCAGAGCTTCCAAACATGCTCACCTTTGCTTGTTTACCTTCCATAACTGCCACACAGGAGTTGGTAGTACCCAAATCAATACCGACAACTGCTCCCTTGATTGCTTCTGATCTGTAAGACATTTAAAAAAATACTATGGTTATTGTTATCTTAAGTGGTCTCCAGAATGGTTGCAGGAATACACACACAAAAAAAGACTACTTGATACCATGGAAATAGTTGTGCCTTAAATAATGTACAAATTAAAACCGATGTCACTTTTTTCTTGGTGGAAGAGTTAATCACAAGTTTAGAGACCACTACTCTAGAGTTTAGTATTTTATTATTTCTCAAAGAAAGTAAGTTACACTTACGCATAGTCCCGCCTTGAAACAATTCTAAAAGCCTCATGACTAAGGCCATTCCATCCATCCTAAAAAACATCAACAAAGACATGAAAATTTGAGCTGCTTCCCATTATTTTCCTGAAGACACAAAAGTGTTAACTTTCATTCTGGTAACCACATATTGAAAAGAAAATCTTATATATGAGTTCTTGTGGAGACAAATTTATTTGAATACGAATTCCCCAAATAACGAGGAATAAAAACATAAAATTGTGTCGAATAAGATTATTACAGAGCTTCTCAACCTTAGCACTACTTAACCAAATCTTTGTTGTGGGGGGCTGCTCTGTGCATTGTAGGATGTTTAACAGCATCCTCGGCCTCTACTGTTAGAAGCCAGTAGGCCCCCCAAGTTTTTACAAGTTATCTCCAGATATCCCCTTAGGAGGCAGAGCTGTTCTCCCTCGAAAATCACTGCTTACAAAATACTATTCAGATACTTCTCAATTTCATAATCAGCGGCAGGGTACAGTTATCTAAACCCAACTAGTCGTGTTCCAGCTGCAGATCTCAATCATTCAAATGTATTTCCCGATCTAGTCAAGCTAATACTGCAAGGAAACTAGGACCGGCAACAGCGGGGAGTCACTTTATAAAAACATTTTATGAATGGCTTCAAAGCAGGATCAAACCTAATTTCAGAATACTTTCAAGCCTTCTTTTTTAAAAAAAAAAAAAAATATTTATTCACGAGAGAGAGAGAGAGAAGCAGGCTCCATGCAGGGAGCCCGATGCGGGACTCGATCCCGGGCCTCCAGGATCAGGCCCTGGGCCGAAGGCAGGCGCTAAACCGCTGAGCCACCCAAGGATCCCTTCTTTTTTTAACCCCAGGTTGAGTGCGAAGAGAGAGACAGTTCCCGTTCTCCAAAGATATGTTCGGTCTTACACGATAATGACGAGAACTACTACTTGGCCATTTCCCGATCTTATTTTTTCTTAAAAAAAAAAAAAAATCTTACGCCAAAGATTCTTTTAGAACTACAGGCAAATGTTCCAAAGTAAGAAAATCTGTGCTTGACTTTCACTTTACTAAGATGCTTTTCTTCTTTCTTTCCATAATAACGGGATCTTTGCACAGTATTTGAGAGAAAAGTAGCAGTCACCCTTCGACTTGTAGACGTAAACGAAACCTACAATAACGGTTCCCTCCCGTTAGTCCCTCCCGAGGGACTAAAATCGGGTCGCTCGCCCGCACGGCCCAAACCGTACAATCAGCCGCTGAACGTCCGCTATCCGCTGCTTCCCAAAGTAAAACTACATGCTCGTAAGGGGTGTGACTCAGCAGAGCCCGAGACATGGAAGCCGAACCCTGAGTTAGGCCCTGCAACGGTAGCACTAGTTACTGAAGGCTGGGTATCTCCTTCCACATCCCACCACTGCCGGCTAATTCTGTCTCTGAAGGGCGAGACCTGCCGCGGGAGGTCAAGGCCGGGAGCTCCTCGGAGAAGGCCCGACAGTTCCTTACCTTGTGGCGGGCGGCTGTGGGGCCCCGGGAGGCTGCCGCGCCGACAAGACGAGCTGCCGCGGCTCGGCTGGCACTTATCATGGCGGCTGGACGGTGGAAGTATCGAGGGCAACACGCGACCGGACGGACAGGAGCTGCGCAGCGCGACGGCGGTAGCGCTTCTGGAAACCTCCAACCACGTGGGGTGGGGGGCGGGGGCTAGTCGCTGAGGCCCGGAGGACCGCTCTTCCGCTGAGACGCCGCCCGCGCTGCCTGACCGGAGACTACCTGACAGCCACTCCCGGAGTTAGGGTACATGGCTGATACACATCGCGGCATGACGGCTGGAAAAAGCGTATCTTTTTGTTCGGGCTACCACAAGCCTGGGCTCAGGGAGTGGCAAGGGGGCTAAGAGAGGTGTACAGGCAGTACGCTGGACAGCCCCGGCCTCGGCGGCAGGAAAGACTCAAGGTCACACGACTAAATTACGGCCCGATTACAGTGTCCTTGCGTCAGTTGCGTGAAAAGAGGAGCATGCTGCGCCTGCGCAGCTGGCATCCTGCTGCGTGCCTAAGGCGCATGTGCGCAGGGAGCGGCGGAAACCGGGATGGAGCCTAATCGCATCGCTCATTGGCCGTTCCAGGGCACGTGAGTCTGGCCTGCGCGTAGCCCCGGGGAGCCCTAGCCAGTGCGTCACCCGCTCGTTCTCCTCGCTCGGGTTTTTGGAGGAGGGTGCGGTCGAGTCCTGGGCCTTTCTTCCAATGAAAATCTCTGGCTCGGAACGTTGGTTGCCTGGTGTGTGCTCGTCTTCTGGTGGCCTGTTGCGGGGGTTTGAATTGCGCCTGTTAACCGCAGGGCTCTCTGGTTGGAACTATGAAAGACGCTTTTCGTTCCTACGGAGTGTTAGGTTGAGTTTGGCTAATTATCGTGCAGACTCTCGAGAGAAGAAAATACTTGAGGCTCTTAGACATCCAAGCTCCTCCCCTGCATCTCAAACCGTGTGCTGGTTCCCAGGGGCAGAGCTGGGGGGGGGGGGGGGACTTTACAAAGAGATGGTAGTGGCCACTGAACTGTGACCACTTCTGGTTTCTTTTTTTTTTTTTTTTTTAAGATTTTATTTATTCATGAGAAACACAGAGACATAGGCAGAGGGAGAAGCAAGCTCTGCGGGGAGCGTGATCCAGGACTGGATCCCAGGACCCCCCGCAGGTCAGGACCTGAACTGAAGGCAGATAGGTACTCAACCACTGAGCCATCCAGGTGCCCCTGGTTTTTAAAAGAGATGTAATTTGCTGATTGAAAAAAATGTACTGGAGTGTCTACCATGTGTCGGACATGATTTTAAGTGGTGGGAATACAGTGAAAGCAAAACGTGAATTCACTGATAAAGTGACAGTGAGATTGTGCTTGATTTTAAAGGTGAAGCAACTTGTCCGTTAAGTCCTATTTCCAAAGAGAAGGATGCCCCCCCTTTTTTAAATTTTTATTTATTTATGATAGTCACACAGAGAGAGAGAGAGAGAGAGAGGCAGAGGCAGAGACACAGGCAGAGGGAGAAGCAGGCTCCATGCACCGGGAGCCCGATGTGGGATTCGATCCTGGGTCTCCAGGATCGCGCCCTGGGCCAAAGGCAGGCGCCAAACCGCTGCGCCACCCAGGGATCCCTTTTTTTTTTTTTTTTTTAATTTTTATTTATTTATGATAGTCAGAGAGAGAGAGAGAGATGCTCCCCCCCCCCCCTTAAGTGATTACGACTGTGTGAGGAATTCTGGAGGAAATGTCAGGGCAAATTTGGGAGGGAAAGAAGGTACCCAAAGACTTTTCATTGTAAGGGGGATGGGAATAAGAAACAGAAAAGTCAAACACAACATTGTAGGTGAAACCATCTTAAATAGAAAAAAGTTACCCCACATTCTTACCTAAGTCTTATCTATTATGTTATTGTTCTTCCTAGCCTGCTTAATATTTTTTTTATTTCCCTTATATTTTAATTCCCTCGGAGGTAGGCATTTATGGGGCCTTCAAACTTACAGGCTAATGACCCCTATTTGTAGACATTTATATGTCTGCAATATACCAGGGGGGTCTGGGTGGCTCAGCCCTTTAAGCATCTGCCTTTGGCTGGGGTCTTGATCTCCCGGTCCTGGGATAGAGCCCCGCGTGGGGCTCCCTGCTCCTGGCGAAACCTGCTTCTCCCTCTCCCTCTGCCTGCTGCTTCCCCTGATTGTGCACTCTCTCCCTGCCAAGTGAAAACAATCTTAAAAAAATTTTAAATTTTCTTTAATTAAAGTAAGACAATATTCTGTTGGAAAATAATGTAGAGAGGAGGGCAGTCCGGGTGGCTCAGTGGTTTAGCACCACCTTCAGCCCAGGGCCTGATCCTGGAGATCCGAAATCGAGTCCGGCATCGGGCTCCCTGCATGGAGTCTGCTTCTCCCTCTGCCTCCCTCTGCCCCCCCCACCCGTCCCTCATGAATGAATAAATAAAATCTTTTTTAAAAAATGTAGAGTGGGCCGACATATAGTATTAAACATTGAAGCAAAATAGAAATGGGTAACTTTACAACCTTGTGTTGTCTATGACAGGGAGGGAGGAGTTCAAGTGGAATAATTGGAGTACCAAATTCTCCTCAGTTCCTTCTTTTTTCAACCGGTTCACTTAAGAGTTATTTTTCCCCCGTTCCATATACCTGAAATCCACAAAGTATTAATTAAAGGAGTCCTGGAATCAAATGATGTCGGCTGTGGAGTGTCTGAGATGATTCTGTGGGTACTAGAGGTTCCTGGTTTTCGCTAAGAGCCTGGCGAATACTCTCCATGACCACCAGGGGGATATGGTGAGCTCTAGATGATTCAAAGCTACAGCTTGAGAAAGGGACTGTGTAGTTTTTGCCAGTGTGAAGGACAGGTTTCTGGACTGCTTTGCAAATTAACATGGCCTACAGCCTGAAGGCTTGAAGAAATGAGCCTGAGTCTAGAAGGAAATAGGGTGCAAATGAATAAGAATGGACAGTTAGATCCACAGCCAGGTGGTGTAATTCTTCATATGGCGCAGCACTGTATTTCATTTCTCTGTTGTCATCTCAGTGTCACGCTGGAAAGTGAAAGGAGCCAGAATATAACTTGCATGTGGGTGAATGTTTACCAGACAGAATAGGCAGCTGTCCAATACCTGTGCGTACTAGGTTTCAAATTATATTCTAATTGGTATGTTATTTTAGAATATTTGAAGACTGGAAACTAGTTACAATTTTTAAGTGTTTGACTCCCAGCAATTAATAGGAATTGTTACTAGAGAATAATCACTAATACTTGTTAAATGTTCACTTAAATGCTGCATACTGTCCTAACTGCTTGATATACATTGTGTAATGAGCCCTTACCACAGTGGTTTCAAGTAAAATTCTATCACTATTGCCATTTTGCAGATGGCAAAACTGAGTTTTATTTTAAGATTTTATTTATTCATGAGAGAGACACAGAGAGAGAGAGAGGCAGAGACACAGGCAGAGGGAGAAGCAGGCTCCATGCAGGGAGCCCGACGTGGGACTCGATCCCGGGTCTCCAGGATCGCGCCCTGGGTTGAAGGTGGAGCTAAATCGTTGAGGCACCCAGGGATCCCGAAATTGAGTTTTAGAGTCATTGATGTGTTATATGACTCAGATAAAATTTCTGGTAAAGCCAGAATTTGGAACCACATTGTCTGACTCCAGAACCTATGCTGTGAACCACTAGGCCCAGCTGACAAAATGGGTCTCATCTTTTATCTCCACTTAGGTAGAGAAGTTGAGTTTCATAATACTGGCCTAATCTATTATTAACAGCAGTTATTTTAGGCAGTGGAATAACAGAGTTAGAAATACTTAAAGAAGTTTTTATGTAGTTTAGGTTGCAGAACAACTATAAAATTCAATCTGTAATAACACTCATAGAATTAAGTTTATATTTTTTATTTGTTATTTTAACTCAATTTGCCAACATAATGAGCCTTCCTTAATGCCTGTCACCCAGTCACCCCATCCAACTCCCCCAAGTTTCTATTTTTAAAGCAAAGTGTCTTTAACCTGGTGACTCAGATGACGTTTTATTCACTTTTCCCAAAGATGAATATCTTGCTGTGGCACCTTCCATCTTCATGAAATAAAAATGTGACATACTTTTGTCACTTTTGCTCTTCTTGTCACTTTTGTTCTGGGAATTTTTTGTTCACTTTTGTTCTCCTTGGAATTATTCATGTGCCTGCAGCAGATTTCAGGAGCCAGTTCCCATTTCTCCATGTTGGCATTAGCTATGCTGTATTGCAGTATACTGCACAGTGTCAGTCCACTTAAGTTTGATTCAACAGAGATTGCCCCACTGAAGCGTAGGAAGTGTTATGTCAGGTAATGTCTCTCTCCCCATGGGTGGTGACAATTCACAGGTTTTACTTTATTTCGAATACCTGGGTAACCACCAACCTGCCCACCTTCCAAAAAGAGAAAAGAGAAATAGAGGATGACCCTGAAAGTGAAGTAAGGCAGCAATAAATTAAAAAAAGATGTCACTTTCATTACATAGGACATTTACATTCCATTGATACTGAGGTCTCATTGCACAGGGTAAAAATCAGTCACCTTCACTCTGGATTTTCATTCAGGTTTGGGAGATAGTTGGCTTTGGATAGATCAAGGACCAATGTTTGAAGTTCCCTATTTGGAGAGGGAGGAGAGATGACAAAAGCAGAGATTTGCTCTTTGTGAAGATCAATTTAATAGTTAATTTTTAAGGATATAGGAGCCTTTTCTGAATTTTCTAGTTGAAAGGGCCAGAATTTTAGTTTATTCTTAATCAGCATGGTATAGTGGAGGGAACCCTGAGCTAGAGGTTGAATCTGAACTTGGGTTCTAGAAACACAGAAAAGACCTTAAGATGCCATTTAAAATCTAACCTTTCATTTAATAGACAAAGAATAGAAAGAATAAATGAGTTGCCTGAGGTCACAGGGACAATGTTAGCTTCTGCTCTAGGGCCTCCATTTTTACTTTTTAGAAATCATCCACGTAAGGGGCCCCTGGATGGCTCAGTAGGTTAAACATCCAGCTCTTGATTTCCACTCAGGTCATGATCTCAAGGTGGTGAGATCAGGCTCTGTGCTGGGCATGGAGTCTGCTTAAAATTCTCTCTCCCTCTGCTCCCCGTCCCACGCCAGTTACCCA